TTAGTAGTTGGGTGGGTGACCACCAGCGAATCCCGGCTGTTGTATGTTTTTGCTCTCACCTATTTTTGCTTCAGTATATGCCATTGTTGCCTTTTCTTCACCCTCTTCAGGCGGTTCAGCTGAGCTTCAATACTGCACACCCAGTGAGCCCGCTCAGCCCCTGTCCTGCTGACGTATCCTCTTTCAATAGCACTATACTGGTGCGATGTATACATATAGCTTAGCAGCGCGGTCCCATTATGCATTGTGCTGATCGCTAAGGCTCTCAACGGAACTACGATTATTGTAAATATGGCTGGATCTGCTTTTGTTGATTTACCTTTGTAGAGGCCTCTCCAACAACTTAGGTGCTGGAACATCAATTCTTCGCTTTTGGAGTAGCTGAGGCGCTTTACTTGTTTGAAGGCATTTGAAGCAGTATATCGTGCCATTCAGACAACCCATCCTGTTCCTTCTGCTGTAGCGTCAAAGAATGTTGTGTTATTCTGCAGGATCCCAGAGTGTGAAGTTCCGTGTTTAACTAGAAAAAGTCGCATGTGATAAATAGGTTCCTCCATCAAAGGCCGGGCAGGCTGGGGTTTCATGCTAGCTGTCTCATCCCAGTGGCCTTCTTAATATCCTCACGGGGAAATATGACAGGTTTCCACAGCCAGCCCATGACAGCAAATATCAACATTACGAATGGTCGCCTTAGAACAGACATTGGCTGCGAACCCAGACCTCCCCTTGCCCGTCATGTGAGATGACATTGTCTCTAGACGTGAAGATTAGCGGAAAAGTGAAGGAGCACAAGGCAGCCATCTGAGCCCCAGATTATACGGCCTGGGCAGTTTCAAATGCCTATCTACGGTGTACTGCTACTATACAGCCTTTACTATTTGAGTGGTGCCGTCCGTGAGTTACCATTTGAGACTTGAAATCAGCATCAAATTTTGTCAGCCACCGGTACAGTCTACCTCTCCTGACACTGAACACAGCAGCCGATACATGTTTAGTTAACCTGGCATTGCCTTGGCATATGGTCAAGAAACCAGTTGGGTAATAACTTGTTTGCAAGATGAAGCCGATTCGATTAAGATGACAGTGTAGCAAACAATGTTTTAAGAATATGCATGCCATTGAATAATGCAACCGCCCTCCTCAATCATCGGATTACGCTCACTCTAATGGGAGATACCAGGGAGGTTTAGATCCCAGCAGTTAGCTGGTTGCGTGGTGTAGAAAATGGATAATCTATTAACAGATTGTCTAATCAGTCTGTTGTCACACCATTTGACAAGTTCCGTAGAGCAGATTCCAGTAGGGTCAATCAATATCCACATCACTAAGAGTGATACCCTTGACAAGGTGTATGATGCGTGCATATGATTGGCTTTAATTAATTCCCAGGTCTATATTATTACTGAATAAAAAGCTCGCCCTGCTGAAAATGTCACAAGGGAGAGGCTTTTTCTACCCCAAACTGCGTCGGCCTATGGTGTTAATGGCGGTTGTCTTTTCAATTAGTCTTGAGCACGATTTATGACCAAGCCGTTTGCACCAAAACCCGGGATGTGAGTTGACAGAACCACTGATGATTCGATACTTGTGCCTGAACAAACAGACCTACCTGAAACCTTCCTTCACAGGGTTGATCTACATATTTACACTTGGATATTTTCCGCGGTCCAGTTAGTTTTCAGGGAGGGTTTCAGTGAGTTTGACGCTCAATTCAGTCAACAACAACAAGGGAAGAGAGAAGTCCGCCAACAAATAAAACTGTAGAAGAACCAAGTCCACTTCAAGGCAGCATCAGCGTTTCGACTCGATGGCAGCCACGAGCGCCTCGGTCCAAGTGTCGCAAACGATTTTTGACATCTGATTGTCCCGTGTAATGTCAAAGCCCCAGTTGGTCATATTGAAAATGTTTCCTGGCATCTCATCCTCCAGCCCCACAACCTCAGGCCAGAACTTCAACCCATAGGCCTTGTCGCAAGGTGCATTCGGATTTCCGGTCCGCGCATGGTTAGTTAGATACCGCTGGAATTGCGCAAATAGCGGTTCTATAGAGGTCTGGAGCTTCGGATTATACCATGTCGCAGGCATATCACTTCCATGCTTCCCATTCAAACGGCCGTCGAGAAAACTGTATTGAAACGCCCAGGCGCGCTTTGGATATGCTTTTAGAACAGCGCGTAGGTTGCAGGTAGAGAGAAGGTTGGTATATAATGCAGAGAGCATTTCCTTCATAGTCGAGTTGGCGTACAGAGATTCAAAGAGGCCCGTTATTTTCATAGTTTGCTCTGTAGAATTCGGTGGTAAGTTTCTGGAGATAAAGGATCGTAGCTGGCCCTCGGGAACAGGGTCAGGGAGGAAGAGGCTCCCTTCGTCCAAGACGTGGCTAACAAGTACTGAGTCGACATTTTTCCAGGTGTTTCCTGTGGCTATTCTTAGCTTCTTCTGGAGCTTGACCCTTTCTCGTCATTTTTCTTTTTAATCCCCTTTTTTGTTTGTTTTAGGTGGCGGGAGTCATGCATGATATTGAATACTTACCAATAGCGTACTCAAACAGAGCAGGGTTTCGAATGTATGCCCCATCTGGCACGGGTGACGATTCACCAAGATACACCTCTTCATTTGCCTTCTTGAGAACAGTGCTATTTGCCAAACGCAAGCAGCGAAGCGCATCTTCTCCTTCAGTTGGGCAATCCGCAGCCGCTGCAAAGTCTCTGAATCGCCTGTAATTCACTCGAGGGTCTGCGTTGGTTCCAAAAAAGGGACTCTGCAGTATTACCCTCTTGAATAAAGGATCAAGGTTCCCGCTTTCTGCGGTCAGGTGATAAATCAGAGAACCGGCGCCAGCAGACTGGCCCCAGGCAGAGACATTGTCAGGATCGCCGCCAAGGAGATGTATGTATGACTGCACCCAGGTAAGAGCGGCGCGCTGATCATGCAGACCGGCATTGAAAACTCCGTGGGCGCGCAGAGGCTCCCCAGCAAGGAAGCCAAAACCTCCCAGGCGGTAGTTAATAGTTACAAAGATCAGGTCGTGATCTGCCTGCTTGATGAAAGATGTGCCCTCGTAGTATCCCATTCCTATTGCCTGGTCTTTGGAACCTGTAACATACCTATGGAACAGCATGAGTTTCAGAATAATTATAACAGCGAGAGGTCGACAGTGTGACCTACGCTCCACCATGGATCCAAACAATCACTGGAACTAAGCGTTGACGTTGTCTCAACACTTTCCCCGGTACGTAAACGTCGAGAAAAAGACAGTCTAGCACGCTGAGTGTGAGCTGGCTGGTTATTACTCAGGGTGCAGGACCTTACCCTCGGCAGCATCCTTGGTGAGATTTTCGGATCCTGGCATAAAAAAGTTGTCCGGAATTGGAGCAGGAATGCAGTTATGGCCATATGAGCCGTCTTGAACGCCAGGAATGAATTCTGGGGATGCCGGTTTAGACCAGCGTAGTTCACCCAATGGAGGAGCAGCGTAGCGGATATTGCGAAATACATAAACCTGTATTATTAGTGCCCAAGATGGTAGTTGGACGGATAGAGGACTTACATCTGCCTCATCATTGTAATGATGAGCTCGCCACCTTCCATATGGAAGACTCAGCAGAGGTAGTTGACTCCGTCCAAAGCTGGTGCCGATGTTCGCAGAAGAGGTAAGTTCTGATGCCAAGACTGACACAGAGAAGATAAGGAGTGAGCCAAAGATCAACATTTTCTACTGCTTTGGTGATGGACAGGCAACTTGAGAGTCACTGAGAGGGACATTTTGCGAACTTTATAGGGGGAGAGGAGCCTGATATTACATTGAGACTTCTGTTTATTGTTCACCTGTATGCGTCAATATCTGAAACTCACATTTGTATCCGACTCGCATTATTCGTATTCCATTTCAAGCAATGATTGACGGACTCCAGCCTAACCGAGCTGTCTCGCATTCATCGTTGCGCTGATTCGTCAACTAAACGAGGTTGCTGTGACTCTCAGACCATTGGTCAGACAGACTCATTGGCTCCCTCAGGTAGGAGCTACTTCATGTAGGTGTCAAGATCTTATGCATCTAATTCGATATTATCTATGCTGGCTTCGAGTTATCTAGCTTGTTGCCCTTGAAGATTGCGTCAGCTGCATCCTGACTGTGCTCCCATTTTCCCGCACACATGGACTAATAACTACACGTTCGGTTACAACTTGCACTACGCTTGTATGTTCAAGCAAGGGCGAAATAATGGCGAACGGCGATCCACGTCCACAAGGTTGCGCTCATAATCTTGTTAATAGCTCTCAAATATTACCGAAGTCTTGCAGGCGTGTAGTCCTGAGCCAGGTAGATTTAACGCGATCAGATTACGGTGTTGGATACGGGACTCTCAACTTTGTGATGATTCAGCCTTCTTCATTCCTATTCTATATCATGTAATTCCAAAAGATTCCTTGGTAGTCGCTTGCGCAGCAATGAGACGAACCTCGCGAGCTCATGATTCCATTGCGGAAAATATGCTCTGTGAACAGCAATATCTGGGATCAAATCTAGGGCAAGATATTGGAATTGATCGTAGACCAATCCCTGAATGGACTCTGGTAATCCTTCATATATATCCTCTGCCCATCGATAGATCAGGAAGTGCCCCCCGCTGGACTTGCGGTTCTTAGCGAGGTTAAGCTTCGCATACACCGGTCGCATGAAGGAATCAATAGTGATATAATGCATGAATAGTGCCCGTGAGATATGATTTGCGGATGCAATGAATCTATGAAACTCTGAGCTATCCATGCATGACCATGTGACATAGATCATTGTGAGCTGTATAAATGCGTGTCGGTAAGAGATAAGTAATGACTCGTATGACAGTCGTAGTGTGTTATAGAATGTCCAATGTGTTCTTGTCTCCAGAAGCGGCTGCAGCCTGTCTAGAGCTGCAATGCATGCTGCTATTGTATCTGCGTCCTTCAAGGTCTGTGGCTCCCATGGTAGGGTCGTCGTTTGCATCATCTGTTCTTGGGACTGTAGACAATTGAAGATATTGCTTTTTCGGCTTTGTCGGACATACCAGTTCGTTATGATGCTGCAGCCGCGCACCATGACGGCAAAGTCGATGACACCATCACTCATTTGGCGAGCTTGGAAGGTCAATGCGTAGCATGTTGCTAGAGCACTGTCCATTTCAGTCATAGTGCAGTCGTCGCCTTTAGCAAGAATGGCGCCGAGGGCTTTGAGAGCTTTGCCCCGGTGCGCGATAGCAAGAGGGGCGTATTTGTACCGTTGTGAGGTGGTTAGACAGCAGTATGATGCGCCAAGGGAGAGTAACGCATGGAGGAGATGGGGACACTGTACATGAGTCAACGGGATCGGCCACAATGTTTACAAGTTTGCGGCTCGCGGGGTGGGGTAAGTAGCAGCGTACATCGTGGGCAAACGCTGGTATCTCCGACGACCAGGTGCCCTCATCTCCCAGTGGAAGACCCGGTCGTGCATCGGCAAGAAAATGATGCCAAAAGCGCAGATCGTCACTGGTGAAAGGGGCCGTGCCAATTCGCGGAGATGCCGAAGGGGCTGGTGATAACCTTGGTATCAGATGCTGTTTCTGACCAGCCTTCACTAGTGGCCATCTCCCGTCTTCTTTGCCTGGGTAGACACAGTCTTGGTCTCTGCGTAGACAGTTCAAACATGCTGGTTTTGTTTCTTGACACTGTTACTCCTTGCTCAGTTTCAGTGGTGTGGAGAGGCTGTCCGCTAACTTGCGTACCTTGACTCTCCGCGTCTTGCAGTTAAAGCATCCCCGGCGAGATTTTGTATGGGGCCGTTTCAAGCGGTCCATCCGTAGCTGTGGGCTTGGAGCCTTTGGTACATTATGTATCAGAGGAGTCGGCGTCGCACCAGTAGCAAGCAGACCTTCGCCGGTGAGATGGTTTGAGGGGTATCGAAACAACGGGGAAGGAAGAATGTCTGGGGAGACGTCTTGAGTGTATTCCATCGGCACGGTGGCGATGATTCTAATACTTTGTCACAAAATGCCACCCAGAGCGTAAGCTTCTTAGCTTCCAAAACCAGGAAATATTCAAACCTTGGCCAATGGTCTGTGACGGGAAGCACTGGGCTTGAGTTTTTATATCTCGCTATACGAGATCAGGTGACCGACAGTGCACTGACTGACTTCTCCCTTTGTTAGAAAATAGAATACCGTTATGATTACAGATATAAGACCCTATCCTGACTGGGATATAGTCCGGACACCCTTTTGGCCTAGTGGTATATTATTTTGATACCCTTCAAACTAAAATTTCATCTAAGCTATTAACAAGACCGAAATGCCAAACATTTACGGAGTATATTCTAAATAAAAGGGCATTCTTCAGCGCGTTTACTGAGGAATCTTGACACCTAAGCATTTCCAGGGATCAAATAGAAGCAGGAACAGTCATATTTTTATTGAATACAAGCTCCTAATCCATATATCTTAAACCAACATAAACTACATCTACTTTTGGTAATTGTAGCTATCAGATATTAAGAGGTTTGGAATAAGAGTGCATGAAAGTGCTTCGAATCCAGCCAGCCCATTCGGCTGAAGGCGAGGAACAACCTAGCTGCTGGGCACCACCTCAGTGTAGCGAGTGTAACGACATTGCGCGGAGACCGGCACAACATTGGACTGTCCTTGCGGCCCACGCAGCAGCTAACGAAGGCATGCGGTTCGGTATGGGGATGGATTTGGCCCCCACCAGAGTCAACGTCGTGGCTCCTGGAGCGGTGACGACACCACTCTTAGAGAGACTGCCTGCGTCAGGGTGGGAAAGGTGGAGGAGACAGTTATTGACGGAGGAACTGGGAAAGGCGGAGGATGTGGCACAGGCTTACATCTACTCGAAGGACAGGTCCGCCACCGGAGCTCTGATCGATAGTAGCGACGGAAGGTTGTTCAGTTAGAACTTGTTGTCAACAGGACCTCGCCAAGGCTCCCACGCCATTTCCTGAGCTTACAGTGGTGGAGGGTGAGGCAAATTACAATGTTGCCCCTGATGACGGCAAAATCTGCATAGTAGGGATGGAAAAAGTGTTCAAAGTCTACAAGAACTAGAATTCTGGCACAATGAACGCATCATTAGATGGCCAATGTAAGGTGAGATGAGAAGGAACAAGTGTTTTTACACCGCTCCGTACAGTCTCCCTGTAATCTCTATAATTTTAGCCTTTAAATCCGATAGTAACCCCATTAAACCTCCGTGACAATCCCCTGCGACGATGTCCACCTTCTAAATAACATCTGGCGTAATATTCTTGCACGCACTAGCCTTCAATGATCAACGTTACTCCACTTGTCAGCGCTTCGAGTTTTGCGGCTTCCGACGGACCGAGAAGACCTGACTCCTAATTAAGAGGGTTAGAAGTTGGAAACTTCAATCCTTTCACAAGCCTCCCCATACAAGTCTGCCAGGAAGAGTCAAATCTATTGCCATCCACAATAGTTGGTCTCGGCAAATTATGGGTTCCCCGTTCTGTGGATTCACGTTTGATTTTCCGTTTCCATCCACACTGACACCCCTCAGATTTACTTTCTGAGCAGTATCTAAATGTTGAGGTTGTTCCCCCTCTTCCTGAACTGGACTCGCTTCAACCTGCAGATACCGTTACTAGCCATCGTGATACTGTCTGAACAGGCATCCCTCACCGAGATCAGACCAATGCCTTACACAACAGTAATGGGACGCCTACCGTTGCTTTCCCTGATAGGATAAGTCGTAAGCCGAAAAGACAGCGCTCCAGGGTGCGGTGTGATGCAGCATCAGAGGGTTTGCCGTGCTCTAACTGTCGCCGTTCCCGCGTTACTGAATGTGTCTTCATAGACTCGAAAGGACTCGGTCAGTATACGTGATGGCCTTTCGATAGCAAAGCCATGATCTCAGAAGGTTACCTGCATTAACCTCGTATGTTCCCTGGAGGGGCAGACATTCGACCCCTTGAAAATTTCCAGTCATCTCGTCATCAGATGTGACCATTTGATTTAGGAAATCAACAATACTGCTCATCATTTCTCGGAGTGATGTTGTAGTCTGGATTGTTGGCATATCCATGTCAGCTGGGAGCTGCTGAATGTAGATTGCAATACAAAAAAGTAGTCTCGCGATCAGGGTGGGATGTTTCATCGAGACAGCGCTGACATTGAAAACCATGTGAGCGTCGTTGCCAACTGAGACTGGTAGATGCACCATCATATGTTGCTGAACAAGCCACCATCCGTGACTTGATGAAAGTAGGCAATTCTCATCTTTCTGGCAAGGGAGCATTGTGGCAAGTCGTCGGCGTAGATTCTCGGGTCTTTAGTCGGAGACCCAACCTCACTCTGCGCCGTCGGGGGAATTGCCCATGGTGGAAAGAAGGATCGTGAATCGTCCACGCTTCGCTCGATGGCTGAAGATATCAGGCTACTAGCTCCGCAGTCGGGAATTCTGTCCATCAAGGTCTCGAGTAATGATTATATCCTGGCCACACGGCGAGCCAAAGCTGATTCCTCCGCAAGGTGTGATTGATGGTCATCCACATACTCTTGACCGACGCAAGAAGTGCTTCTTTCTAGACGACCAGTGCAAATCGAGGATTCCAGAGACGGAATACACTTCACCTTTCGCCGCTTACCTGCATATTGCACGTTGTCAGTTGCGCGCTTTTAGCGGGGTGGGGTGCTTACTCTCCCAGCAACTCTTCGTGCCTTTGCGGACTATTTTGTGCCGGCGTTCTTCTGGCATCGGATTGCTCAAGATTCTTTCTTTATGGTTAGTTTGCGATATTTTTGGAAATTTTGAACATTCAACTCAGGAACATATTTCTCACCCATTTTCCGCTAAGGGACGTTGGGCTCAACTCGGTCGAGCTCGGCCGAGTTCGGCGGAAAACAAACGAACTCTCACAGCCCCCTCAGTACAAGATGTTCGAAGCTTTAGGCCAAAAGCAGTAACGCTTACTCAAGAACTTATTTCACAGATCCGCCACCCCGTGGTAAATCGAGGGCCCATAATCAGGCCCCCATAAATCTTCAACCTTGCCCTTGCCAATCCTTGCAGCTCTTGCGCTTGGCCAGTTGACCCAGCCCTCCCTTCGAGTAATAAACCCCGCGTCTTTTAAAGGAATCCGTCAGTTGGGAAATCCCATTAGTTGAGGAATCTGGCTGGGGACCCCCAGGTCCCCACCTTCTTCAGCGTTTCTTAAAACTCCCAGAGGTTCCGTTCCGGTACCTGGAAATCCACAACTACCTGTCGTCCCGTCCCTAGCACCTGGGCCGCTCTCTTCGAGAAGCTGAATGTACCGCGATTCCCGAAGAAGGCTACCTGTTCCAGTCCCCCATACACCGTCTCCACCAATCGCAGCGTAATGCAGTAGCTGCTCGAGAAGTAATCGTCCGTGTTGAGATCCCCCTCCCACGTTCCCGCCGAGAGCTCGCGCTGGAACATCATCATCAGGTCGGAGTCCGTGGCCCCTTCAGCAAACCCAGCCTCGAGGACGTCGTAGTAGTCATCCGCCTCCCCACCAGCGTTTTTGGTAATTATTTGCATGCTAAAGTAATGAATGAATCGCTTTTGTCGAGCAAAGACACAAGGGAAAAAGCAGTATGTGAAGATGGTAGGTGATTTTCTTAAGAACCTAGTCTTTATCTAATAGCTTAAGACCTGCTCCTATGAAGCTATTATATATATTCCTTTAGATAAAGACTACTTCACATACAGAAGGATATAGGTGTAGAAAATCCCCTTTATTAATATAGTTATTCCCTACCACCATCATCCCTTTAACTAGCTTTCTATATGCGCATTTAAGTGGCCTAAAGACCCCAACATCTAGAGGTTAAAGAAGATAAGATGTATACAGAAGCATATAAAGACAGATAATCACATTTTCCTTACAGAAATCATTAAACATCTTGCTCGGCTTGAGACATCCACTTTACCACATTCAGGGTCCCGACTGTAATTGTGCTGTTAAAGCCTACATCGCCTGGCTGGGCCAATCTGGTGGACACGTGGAGACTATAAGTCATCATGCTCCAGGAAACTTGAGAAAAAAAAAAGCCAACTCTACGAAAGTAATGTATGAAATGTTTAGGATCCTCGGTTAAGCCTAAATTTCGGGGTCTCTGGAATACAGGATCCTCTAAACTCCGGCACTCAGGTAGTCTGAAAAAAAGCTATTCATGCCAGCAAGGCCGTCTTCCAGACAACACAATAGCTCCCCCATATCTTGAGCTCGGTTTGCTGATAGGCGTAGAATAAGCTGGGAATACGTCCGCAGCATCGCCAATGTCTCTATGTCCACTCATTCCAAAAGTCCCGTCGCTATCTGCTTTTTCAAGTATTTTTAACTGTCGATCTATTGCGCGGGAAAAGCCGCGCTTAAATTCCAAACCAACTCACTCAATTCTCAGTGTCGCGCACACCTGTATCAGCTCCGCTTTTTGGCATCGATTGCCGCCTAAGAAATCAATGGACAAGAGAAGCAGGGCATTGAAGCAATGTTGATCAATGCTGTGAGAACAGAAACAAGTGCAGCTATGCCTCCCGTCTATTATGGCCCGAAGTTTCAATAAGCTCTCTGCACAATATATCCCCACTTTGTAAGAAGTCGCGAATCTGAAGTTCTTCATGCATAAAGCGATAAACGGCCGATGTACTCCCAGAGGCTTCTACCCATGAAGATACTCGGTCTCTTTTTGGATCAAATGTTTCCAGGCTGGCGATATTGTAGTGCTGCATGCACATATAAGCTTCGCCCACTACGGCGGTATCAATTCTGACAGCCTGGTTGCTAGGGTCGTTGTATATAATCCTTAGCCTTAAACAGGCATTTTGGTTGGTACAATGCTGTCATATCTGACAAGCTTGTTACTTGGTTTCTTGATCAGCGCTCTACAAAACAGGCAACTTTGGCGGTAGACATGAGGTTTGGGGTTTAGCATGTTGTCAGTGCCGGAAAGGTGGATCAGTGGGTCCACTAAATGCATGCTTGCCATACAAATAAGGTTGGTAAGCGGCGTGGAACCATACTGTCGGTAACCAATCAACAAAGCTCATGTCGAGCAAGCTACCTATTTATCATGTTCAGTGAAAACCAAACATTGGTGGTTGAGTTAAGAGACGAGTACAGAAAAATTGTTTCAGAGGACTGGCTACTCATAATGGTCTAAGAAGCTGAAGTGATTTCAAAGCTGTAATTTGGGTCAATATACAGAAATCGTCCAAAAATCAAGTGGAGATATACAAGATCAAACGAAATATATAAGAATGAATAACCTGCAAAGATGTATAGTGTCTGACTGATTTATCTTCTACCTCAATCTTGCTGAACGGCATTGATGAAACTCAAGTATCCAGGCAACATGTACTCTCATCACCATACAGTGCAGGCCTTGTCACACAATCTGCATCTGCAGTGTCTCTCTCATCCTGTGGGCTTGAAAAGGTCTTTTAACGGATGACAGTCCGCAAATTCTTCTGCTAAATTTTGAGAAACCTCCTAGGAAGATGGATAAAAGAAAAAGGCAAAGATGGAAAAAGTTACCATAGCCATCCAGGAGTAGTGATCTGCACTCCTAATTACATCACTTTCCTTCAAAGTGCAGGCTTTGGCTTTGAGAGGCCCATATGCATTATCACCATCTATGCTCTTTTCTCTCAGCCTGTTTTAATATTAATAAAGGGATGGGAAATGATATGGTGTATATATTCTTTAGAGTGAAACTTATGCACCTTTTGAATTATATCAACATACCTGCAGTATGTGTTAATTATTAGTTATCCAGTAATTACGTTAGACATGTAAGCACCAGTAAAAGGAATAACTCACATAAACTCATATAATAGAGTGGTGCCTATCACAGCCTTTTAGCCCCAGCTATATCCCTTAGAGTCTAATAAGTAACATCTTTAATAGGTGGCCTGTTATAAGCGCAGTTGCAAAGTAAATAATATTATTGCTATTCAAAACTATACCCACATATGCTTGTAATATAATATCACCAGGGCATTAGTTGTTAGTATTAATAGTTGTGATGTAGAGGCCTCCCAGTTCATCAGAACTCCTTAAAGGATCACCTAGTGCTTTCTGGAAAACACTTAAGTTCTTGCTCTTATCATCTTCAGTAAAGTATTGCTAGAATACATTATCGTGAAGACTGTTGATAGCATAGTCCATCTGCTGGAGACTATCATGTAAGGCCTGTCGAATTCTGAGGGTTTTCCTCCGGTCATCGGGGTTACGTATGATTGATGCCGGGTTGAGGACATACTGTACATCATTAAGATATTTTTCATATGTTTCTGCCTCAATGGGATCGATGAGAAGAAGCCAGTAGCTCAGCAGCATCCTAAAGAAGATGTCTGTCGCCCTTGATTTACATGCACATTGGTGTGATCATTGTTAGACAACAGTCCAAGCTAGAGGTCCGAAAACAAGATTGACTAAAGAGAAAATGTGACCAACAGAGGCCCTTAATCCTATATGTCCTTACTCTACAACAGTGAAGCTAGCAGAGCTCTGCAACACAAGAGGGATTGGCTCCATCTCACAGTCCCCCACTAGCTCGCGTTGTTGTTTGGCGGAGCCACCTCCAGCACCCTGCTCCCCCAGAACCTCATCCTTTATTCCATACTGATACCACCATATCTTGTTCAACTTATTCCCAAGCTCAACATGGTACGTCGACCCCACTTCCATATTTGTGACGTGAGAAAAAACCGAAGCAACTATGTCCTCATCCTCAGAAGTTACAACTCTCTCCCCCAAGGAATTTTCAACCTGCTTAGGTCTATCTGCCTTGTCTCGCTGGATCCTGGGACAAGGCCTTAAGGTATATGTCACACGGTGAGGCACACCTGGGTGAAGGGTGACGAAAAGATACTCAGACTCAGGTTTAACTGGGATATCAGACCTCCCGCTAAAGCTATACTCTGAGATCATGGTTGTCTGTTTCGCGGGAATGCCTGTGTCGACATTGATGAAGTCAAGGCCGTCATTATAGAGGGCATTACCACCAAGATACAGGAGTGAGTCAAATACAAGGATGGTAAGGGGCTTGCCAGGTGTGTTTGGGGTTTGAGGAAGAGTTGCTTCAAGGGTGAGTTGGAATTCAGTGTCAGAACCATGTTTGTGGAGTGTAGTTGATGAGACTGATACAGCGAGATTGATGTGGGTTGGGGGCGGAAATGGAGAGTCTCCAAAAAGTTTTCGGAAAAGGTAGGCCATGAGGATATCCAGACAAAATTGAAGTTCGATGAGTTGAAGTAGATGGTTGACTAGTCTTGCCTTTATATTATTCGCAGGCAAGATCCTGGCTGGCGGGAAAGCGTAGGCAGATGCATTCTTGAGACCTCCGCAAGGTAGCAGGTACTACTCTGTACTTACCACAACACTCATAGTTGGGACGTCGGGCCAGGACCACTACCTATTGACTGCTCCAACCATCATGAATCTCTATGAAAACGGCTGTTATTAATTATCATAGTGGAAAACCCTCATATACCTAGAGCTTAACTATGATTGCTGAGTGTTATACTCTTACAATAGGTAAATAATTCACTACATAATATAATTTATCGCATCAGTCCTACTTTTATTACTATAAGCTATTCATTGGCTACTGGGTGGTAACTCTGGTCTATACTCCAGAGCGCTGCGCAGGGCTCAGTCATAGATGGACAATACTGACATACGTCAAGAGCTTACGGGTCTGCCCTAGTTCCGTGGCGGCCCTGGACTCAATGACTGCACTCGCGTTGGAGCGCTATATGGACATCTGTCAGTTCAACATAGCTCACTACGTGAGTATGCACTTACACGGTTACACCGTCCCTATGGGCTCTTGAATAGTCTACAGTGCTAAGTACAAGTAAGTCGAGCATCCGCCTTGGACACCCATCTGACGTGCTAGGCCAAGCACCTATATTGGCCATGCATGCACATTTTATTTCGTTGCAGTGGTTCTCGTTCGGAGCAACAGCCTCTAGAACAGCTCGGCCAGGAGCCTGCGTACATCCCTTTCTGACTTCTGTGCCAAGCATGCTACCTCGAAGCGCTTGATGCGCAGGAAATGATCCAAGATGGAGCTGTCAATCATCCTTCCCAGCTCTCCCGCTTCCTTCTCCAGAAGGTCTAATGCTGAGCTCAGATCCTTCGGCAGTGCTACTGCCTTGGGAGCATGATGGCTGCCATTCGTGCCATTCGTGCCATTCGTGCCATTCGTGCCGTTCGTGCCGTTCGTGC